GTCAGTAATGTGACTCCAAACACCACCAGCACCTCACTCTCGAGAAGGCATCCAAGCGAGGATACCACTCTCGACTACGCTTATGACAATCCAGCGATGACACCAAGCCCGGAATCCGTCCAGTTAAGAACGAAGCGCGAGAGTTCCTTTTAAATTCGAATCGAAATTGAATCGATTCATGTGCTCCATTCGGATAATAACTATGACAGTTTATTGAAAAAGCAATCTCCTCACCGATTTTAACGAGCTTGAAGTAGTGTTTAGTAGTGTATAGAGTGGTACATAGTGGTAGTAGATATGGACATAAATATATGTGTATAGAATAGACTTTTAGGAACGCGAGAAGAAAACTAGAAGATATGAAGCCACCTGTATATATAAATTAGTGGTGCACTCTACAGGCAAGTTGAGTTATTAGTAGTTACTCAGTTATTAGTATTCTTCTAAACTTCTATTTGAAGTTATTTGACATATTGATATGGATTCAATAAAATTCAATTTTGATTTCGGTTTCAATATCGCAGAACTTTAGAAACCAATCAATGCTAATTAAAGATGAAATATGAGATTTTTAATTGTACGTAGAAATGTTCGAATTTCTCAAGTTTGCTCGTTACCTTGATAAAATTTTTTATCCTGCAATGATAAAACAATGAATAAAAAGAAATTAAAGAAAATTAAAAATAAATACAAGATATATATAAGTACAATATTATTATAATCAATTTAATATCGTTTTAAGTATATTGTAATTGATCTCATTTTCATCAGCAAAATCATACGAGTGATAAACATATTTTTATAAAAAAAAAATCAAAATTATATTTTAATTTATTATATTTGAATGTGAGCAGAAATGCTTCGAATTACCGAATTGAACATATTGAATTGCACAATTGACTGATTCTAAGATTTCCTTATTGCGATAGCAACCTATTATGAAGATACACATTGTTAAGGACATTTTGAAGAATTTTTTTCTATATAGGCGGTCGATCTTAATTTTTGAATTATATGAGTTAATTTTATGGTATAAAAGTATTTTTTATACTATTATATAATGTTTGTACTTTTGTTTTAACATTTTTGCATTTTTGCATTCTAGTATGTATTTCTTATATAAATAATATCTAACTTATCTTAAATCGTTTTTCAATAAATTGTTTTTTCTTTTAAATTAAGATAAAAATATAATCAGATATATATCTAATATATATCTAAAAATTATCTAACTTGCTATATTTGAATAATATATTGAATACAAATTTATTTTTATCAGCAAATCAAAATCTAAAGACAAAAATATATTTGAAAATAAAACTTTCGCGAATTATTTTTAAAAAATATACTTACAGAAGAAGAATTCTTAATAAAAATTACCTAATAGTTTATAGTGTGAAAAATATTTTTAACATATAACTTGAGAAAATTAAAACAACTATCAATAATATTGTACGTATAAAAAAAATTGCTGAAAATGTCCTTAATTAATATATTTCAGACTCATTGAAATCAGTGAGGAAATTTACGAGCTTTTCAACAAAATCATCTTTAACTTGTAAATAGAATATTTCTAAGTACTTAATCGCGCTCGTCCGTGCGAGAAATCGCGCGACTTCACGCAGATCCTTATCAGCCATTCCGTCCATAATGAAAGGCCTTTCGAGCGAGAGTTGGCCGGTGACTATAACGAGGTCAACCTTCGCATAGGTCAGCGACGGTGCACCGACCGACCGATCGATCGAGGAACAAGCGCCACGCTCAATTCAAATGCTCAACCCTTGAGTTTTTTACTCGTATCGTGTCTTTCGGACAATTGCGCGCGTTTCTCTCTCTCTCTCTCTCTCTCTCTCTATTTCTTTCTTTTTTATAAATATAGATAATAGATGATATTAAAATTAAAGGTATTTTATATTGATTAATTCGAATATATTCGAAAATTGAACTTTAAGTACTTAAATTGATTTTTGATTGAATGTAACTTGAGTTTAGATTTTTCTTTGTACAATAATCTTCAGTTAACGGAATTAGGTTAGAATGTATCAGTTAAATGTTAAAAATATTTTGAAAATTATTGATGATTTTTAGATTTCTATAAATATTTTAAAAATATTTTATAAATAAGAATGGAAAAAAGTATTCATCTTTGTTTTATGATATAATATTATATATAATATATATATTTAAAGTTTTTGAATTTGATTGACGAAGCAGTAATTTAAGTGTTCAAGAAATCTATTATTACAATTAAAGCTATTGCTTATCAACTGATTGTCATTTGTCCATTTTCAGGAGTGAAATCATTATTTTATAGTTATTTTTAGTAATTATTTTTATTTTTTAGATTATATAAAAAAATTTATGAATTTTATTGTTATTATGAATGAAAAGATATATCAAAATCGCCAAGTAAAAATTATGAACAAATTATTATTTATAAAAATATCTTTTTCTTAATTTGCAAGGAAATTTGTGAATCTATGTCGATTAAATGCATTTATTTATATCTACTACGTTGTTTTCTTCGATCGACTTTAGAGACACATATATGATTTAAAAAATTGAAGTTTCAATTTCAGAAATTAGTAGATATAATTTTACGAAGATTAAATGGACAGAAAGTGCAGTTAACCAGATACTATCGAATATAGAAAATAGTAAATGAAAAAAAGAAGTTTAAGAATCAAAATAAATTGTATATTTCATAGTAAAAAAAAGTTTAAGAATCAAAATAATATTGTATGTTTCGTAGTTGTATGTTATATAATGGAAATCTTCTTTGATAGAAATGAATAGCAAGCATTTATACTCTGATTAGTGATTAACTTAATCAGTATTGAAATATTAGTATTCCAGGAACTAGTTACAAGTATTTTTATAAATGAAATTATGAAAGTGATTAACTATGAATTTCTATAATGTTGTAATAATAATTTTATGACTTTTAATTTTTCTTATAATCAAAAGTGTTATGTGATTTTGAAAATATAAAATCTGGATATAATTTAGTTTAGTGCCTCCTCTACAGTGACTAGTGATTTCGATATTTCGCAAATTTTTCTTATAATCAGAAATATTTTAATTATAAAAAGTACTAGATTATTTCGTGTTATCAATTTTTATTTTTATACATGATAAAATATATCAAGAGAATGCCTTAGCGAGCCTTAGAAAAGAAAGATATGTGAATTTACAAGTTATGGGTTTATGAGTTTCGAAGTGCAATGTTTATGTTTGAACATTTGAAAGTGAATGTTGAATAGAGAATGATTTGAATATTTGAAGATGAATGTTAAGAATATAGAATTGCTAGAATAGAAACAAAATGTCTAAAAAGAAGGCGTTTTAATAATTAATGGAAAGTATCGATATCATCAAAAATCTAATTCAAGATTGAATCCAAAATAAATTATAATCATATTTTTCTTCCATTTTTATAATTCAAAAGTAAAAAATTAAATGAAATTAGAAACATTTACATAGATTTATAATTTATTTGTGATTTTTTAAAATGCAATTTTTAAATATTCGAAGATAAATATTAAATTAAGATGTTATAATAAATTATAGTTGATATAAGCAAACTTGCTAGAAAAATTCATTTTATGCAAAGAAACTAGTTGTTTAGTTATTGGTTTTTTTATTCGTTATTCTTTCATTTTCTAAATAATTTGGGTAGTTCATTAATTATATTACTTTTTGTTATTCTTATTACTAAATATATAGTTTAAAACTATCAGTTTTAAAATAAATTAATTATTTAAGATCTGAAATAAGGAATTATTATCTAGTTGTTTATTATGAAATATATTATTCAGTTTGATTTTATTCTAAAATAAAAGTTGTAAAGTTGTTATTGACTTTGTTACAATAATATTTTTTAGAAAAGAATTTTTTAGAAGGAATATACCCTGTCACTAAGCAATTTTTAATATATAAAGATTTATGACTTATTTTACATTATTATTATGGCATTACATTATTATTATATTTTCACAGATTTTTTATTTTATGAGCTTTTTCAGATAACTTCAAATAAAGAAAAATAAATTATTAATTTTGAATAAGAAAACAATTTCTTATTTCAGATCAAAATTGTCTTATTTTCTTTCATTTTTTCTATAAAGAAAATTTTTTTAAAAATATTGCATATAGAAATAAAATGATGAAAAATGGAAGAAGATGTCTTCATAGTAAAAAAAAGATAATTGAAAGAAGATGTCTAAGATTTTTTAATTTTAAATTTCAAAATATTTACAGGATTTTGAATCTCCTTCTTCTTACTACTATAATCATTAGACTACTAATTTATATACTTAATAATTATGTACTTAATAATTGATAAATTCAAGAGAGATTCTACATTAACCGAAAGAAAGAGAAACAGAGAGAGAAAGAATTCATTCGTGAGGTGAACCTCGCTAACCTTAGGATAATAAGTCCCGTACAACAATCGTTATAATCTTGTCTCGTTCAGCGTTTCGATCTTCCTCGTCGTGGATATTATCGTAGATTACATAATCATCGACGACGAGAAATCGATGTCTTCCAACGAAACGAAACGTCATTTCTGTTCGAGTCAAAAAAAAAAAAAAAAAAAAAAA